TTTATTCATTTGAGACAGAGATACAGAGCGAGAGAGAGAGAGAGAGAGAGAGAGAGAGCGCGAGCAGGGGGAGAGGCAGAGGGAGAGGGAGATGAAGCAGGCTCCCTGCTGAGCCAGGAGCCCGATGTGGGACTCGATCCCAGGACCCCGGGATCACGACCTGAGCCGAAGGCGGACGCCCAACCATCTGAGCCACCCAGGCAGCCCAGAAAAAACAAGGTTCTTACCAGAGGTAGAAGACAAGCACAGTCAGACTCCTGGAAGTGGTTAACCTTTTTTTCTAAGAATGGTGGGTATTGTTTTCAAATTCAGAATATTTGAAAGGCACCAGTGACAAAGATTTATAGAACCCAGATTGCATATGGTAGACTCAGAGGTGGTGTTTTTGGAGGTGGGACTTCCTGAACTGCAGAATGATATGTTGCCTTTTAAAAATGCAAATTAATTACTAGGGATATTCAAGGGGAAACTCTCTAGCCACCTTCCTTGAAAAAGATCATACCTATGACAATAGGTTCCATGGTCAAAAAGTGAAGTGTTCATGGCAAAATTGACACCAGGACTGCTATATATTGGTTTTACCAAGAAGTTAACCAGAACTGTGAGACTTCACATGCTCGTTGCCAGTAGGTTCCACCAATCCTAAAGAAAGGTGGTAGAGAGTATAACCGAAAGGAGCCAGGTGTGTAACTTTTAATAAGTTGTCAGCTGATTCTAAATAGTATTGCTAGAGATATGAAAAAGACCGTCCAGTCTATTTATCCTTTCAGTGTTGGTCTGAGTTTCAAATGGAAAAACTATTTTGAGTATCTAGTTGTGGGTTGTTGTTTTGTTTTTTTTTTTAATCAGATTTTCATGTTGTGAAAATGTATCCTGGTGAATGTCAAAAATCATTCTCAAATTATTCTTTAAAATTAACCGCTCAAAAGGTAAAACACCTTTCACATAGCTTTAAAATCACTTGAAATCTTGTTATGACAACATTATTTAATCGTTATTGTATTTTAACTAACTTTTTCTTTTATTATAGTATGAAAACTGTCTCAGAAAATTCTATAAGCACCAGAACACTGAAGTTGTGCTGTATTTGGCCCGGGCCCTCTTCAAGTGTGGCAAGTTACAGGAGTGCAAGCAGACTTTACTAAAGGTAAAAAGGAAAATTCATTATTCTCATTTAGTTATATTCTGCATTGTATTTTTTTTAAAATTCTATTTTGTGCATGTTCATATATATATATCTGACACTCTATTTGGCTAAAATCCTTTTCATGTCATTCGATTATATAAAGTATTTGTTTTGTTTCTTACTTATAGGCTAGACATGTGGCCCCCAGTGATACAGTACTTATGTTTAATGTGGCCTTGGTCCTGCAAAGATTAGCTACCTCTGTTCTGAAAGATGAAAAGAGTAATCTGAAGGAAGTACTGAATGCTGTGAAAGAACTGGAGCTTGCACACAGGTAAAGATTTTGTAGAAACAACTTTTGAAATGTTTTGTTTCTTTAAATCCATTTGTCTCAAAAGGTGCTGAAAACCACTTCCCTCAAGAGAATCATTTTTTATTAGAAGCATTCCAGTGATTTTTAAGCCAAAGCAGACAGCTGCCACCAGGTGGCGCCAAACTGTGGCCAGGTTCCTGCCAAATTTGTATCATGTAGCGTCCCCTAGAACTGGCTGGCTAGCTTTGCAAGTTTGCCCCAGATTTTCATTAATCTAACAATAAAATGACCCAACATTGTACACACTTGAAATTTTTAGGCTTCACTTATATTGGTTTTATTACTTATACTGGTGTGTCTTTCATGGGATACTAATTTTCATAGGGCTAAGATTATTAAAGCCTGTCCTCATAAATATTGAATAGGTTTATTGAACTTAGCTCAAAGTTTATGTACCTTCATAGGATTTATTTGGTAATTCAGTTTGTGGTGAAATCAAAGCCTGACATCTCTTCAGGTTTTGTCCAACCTTATTTAAATTCTTATATAAGCATTCCTTGCCTTTCCTGGTACATTAGTTGTGTTTTCATGGCCTACACCTCCTAAACTCCATGCTGACATATTTAGTAAATACAGTGGTTAGTAAATACTTGTTGCTTGAGCTGATTTTTGGTTATTTATGAATTTACTGATAATATTAAATATGACTGCTTAACTTCATGGACTTGTTTTTTATTAAACATATTGAGTGTTATAATGATGAGTCTTTTTTTAAGTGCGTTTCATATATAATTATATTGAGATGATAGCCTTTCATGTATCAAACAGGTTCATGTAAGTCAGTAAACCTATTCTCAGACTGTTTTTGTAAAGCGGATTAAAAATGTTAAAGAGCCTGTTTCATTAGAATGATTTTAAGTGAAGTATTTTATTTTCTCATTCCATTTAGATACTTCAGTTACTTGAGTAAAGTGGGAGACAAAATGAGATTCGATTTGGCCCTTGCTGCTACAGAAGCCAGGTAATGTTACTACTTCTGGAAGGTGACTTTGGGTGAGGCAGTGATGTCAGTGTGCACCGGGTAGCCTTCCAGGGGTCAGTCTTTCCCACTCCTCTGTGGGGCTCCCCAGCCTGGGTCAAGCTTTTTTCTAAGGGTCCTTTCAGGGAATATGACAAAGTCAATTTAGTACAAGTATTTAAGTTGTGTGGAGAAAATACTTTTCTATCTATCCTGACTCTTTTGAGTCACGTGTGAAGAGAATGTTGAAAATCTTTATATTTATGCTTGGAGAGGACGCTTATAATTTGGAAAGTTACTGTAATTGACAGTCTTGACTTTGAGAAACTTAAGTTAATTTTGCTAATTAAAATATCCCTTAGATATCAGCTAATGATCCTGCTTCAGACTTTTTAGTTTGTGTAAGGAAAACAGATACTCTGAGTTTTTGAACAAAATACTAATTACATTCATGTCTCTCTGAATCTGAAATGTTGTAGGCAATGCTCTGACTTACTGAGCCAGGCCCAGTACCACGTGGCCCGGGCACGTAAACAAGATGAAGAAGAAAGGGAGTTACGGGCCAAACAAGAGCAAGAAAAGGAACTGTTAAGGCAGAAACTTCTTAAAGAACAGGTACTTATTGTGTTTGCAGTTATACTAGAACTAAAGAATTGTGTGCATACATACACCTTGTATGTTAAAAAAGAAGTCCTTCTGATGGTCGTCATGATATTTTTTCAGCATAACATTTTGATGCAGTGTTTTCCTACTCTTTTTCCCTCCTAGGAAGAGAAACGTCTCAGAGAAAAGGAAGAGCAAAAGAAACTTTTGGAACAGCGGGCCCAGTATGTAGAGAAGACCAAAAATATTCTGATGTTTACTGGAGAGACCGAAGCAACAAAAGAAAAGAAGAGAGGTGGTGGTGGTGGACGGGTAAGGTGGGACCCCTGCTAATACTGGTGGCCGCAGTCCCTGTCGTTTGACTCCCAGAAGCGAGTATCATTGGTTGTATTTACTCAGTGCTTAGTTCTTAAGTTTGACTTCCTTCTTTGCTAAGAGACAGTCTTCCAACCCAGTGCTTTCAGTACTATCCTTAGAAATTCATTCCAAGGGGGCGCCTGGGTGGCTCAGTTGGTTAAGCGACTGCCTTCGGCTCAGGTCATGATCCTGGAGTCCCGGGATCGAGTCCCACATCGGGCTCCCCGCTCAGCGGGGAGTCTGCTTCACCCTCTGACTGTCTCCCCTCTCATGCTCTCTCAAATAAATAAATAAAATCTTTAAAAAAAAAAGAAATTCATTCCAGGGTTAGTCCAGTACGCTGTACCTTGTAGTGGCTTGAGTAGTTGATGATTTTTGATATCTGAGCAATTTACCCTAATTAGAAGTCTTTATCATTGGGCTTCATCAAATACAAGTTCCTTGCAACTTGGTAAAACAAAAGATCCTTTGTTTGTTAAATGACTGATAGGATGTGGCCTTATTCCACCAGCCAGGAGAGAACTGATTGTAGTCTTGTTTGGATTTCAGCGTTCTAAAAAGGGAGGAGAGTTTGATGAATTTGTCAATGATGATACCGACGATGACCTGCCTATATCCAAAAAGAAGAAGAGAAGAAAGGGCAGTGGTAGTGAACAAGAAGGCGAAGAAGAGGAGGGTGGTGAGAGAAAGAAGAAAAAGAGGAGAAGGTATTACCAGTGTGTTGTGAATAGCCTCATGAAGGTGACAGACAACCTCTCACCTGAATCTTTCTTGTGTTAGAATTCATGAAACCTGGTGATCATTTGATCTTTGCAGACAGTGAAGCCTTTTGTTCCCCCACTTCCCACTTTAATCATAATAATCCTAAGAAAGACCCCTCCACACCAAATCCCCTGAGTACTTGGAGTCGCCACACATCTCCACAGCTTCCTGTGAGAGCTGCAAGTTAGTCATCATTGCCTTTCTGATGTCTTCAAAATTGTAGTATTTATTTATGGGAAAATGTATGCAGTTTAGAATGAGAAAACCGGGTATGTCCACACTAAGTGTCCACGTGCAACCTTAGGAAAGTCAGTGAGCCTCAGTTTCCGTTATGTAAAATGGTAATAATGATGCCTACCTCAAGTTTTGCTAGATGTATAAAATGTGAATTAATGTGAAAGAAGGGCCTTTGAATCTTCTAGTGCCATTTGCTGTTAAGATAAGTGGTATCCTGCCCGTCCCTCACCTGGAGGTGCCCCTGAGCTGTCCTGTTCCTCTCTCGTGGTGCTCCCCTGTCCAGGAACCTCTAGTTGGCTATCTTAGCGAGACCTGTTCTTCCCAGCCCTTTGCTGCCTCTACTTAGCAAAGAACCCAGTGAATTCATTCAGACACAGACCTGTAGAATGGAAGCTATGATAGGACCTCAGTAGGCCCGGAATGAGTAGCTGGGAAGGAAGGAAGAAGAGAGGAAGGATGTAAGGCCTGGAGCCTGGGTCTTTTGTCCCATCCTCTATCCCTCCACCAAGTGCAAGATTCAAGCTTACCTTAGATTAATAAGAGGACTCAACAGAGACGTAATTATTTGGTAGACATCACATAAATCCATGGTGTTTGCGGACTCCTTAGCTGTGTGCAGCAATTATAAATGATGGCCTTTGCCCTTGAGGAGGGACAGTATGGTTGAGAGCACATGTAGAGAATAGTATTCAGAATGAAAATGTGTTGATCGGGGTGCCTGGGTGGCTCAGTTGTCAAGCATCTGCCTTCGGCTCAGGTCATGATCCCAGGGTCCTGGGATTGAGCCCCGCATCAGGCTCCCGGCTTGGCGGGAAGCCTGCTTCTCCCTCTCCCACTCCCCCTGCTTGTGTTCCCTCTCTTGCTGTGTCTCTCTCTGTTAAATAAATAAGTAAAATCTTAAAAAAAGAAAGAAAAGAAAATGTGTCAGTGACAAAGTAGTCTTAGACTTTGTAAGTATGAGTGATTCTTGACAGACTTTCTTTTGATGTCCGCTATGTAAGACCTCCAAAGGGAGAAGAAGGATCTGACGATGACGAAACCGAAAATGGCCCCAAACCGAAAAAGCGCCGTCCCCCAAGAGCAGAGAAGAAGAAGGCTGTAAGTTTATAGTACTGTGGTTTTCATCCCCGTTGTTGGCAGGAAGGATTGCACTACACCAGAATACATTCTTTTTTTTTTTTTATTTGACAGAGAGAGACACAGCGAAAGAGGGAACACAAGCAGAGGGAGTGGGAGAGGGAGAAGCAGGCTTCCCGCAGAGCAGGGAGCCCGATGCGGGGCTTGATCCCAGGACCCTGGGATCATGACCTGAGCCAAAGGCAGACACTTAATGACTGAGCCACTCAGGCGCCCCCACCAGAATACATTCTTTCCCTGCAGTTTCTTCAAGCACAAATGCTTTTTTTTGAAATGTATTAGGCTGCTGTTTGATTGTTATCATTACACTGCAAACTTAGTTTAATAACACGTCCTAATGTAATGTAACCTCAGAGTCTTGAATAATCTGTTATGTTTGGTCTTCTTTCTTTAGCCTAAGCCAGAACGTCTGCCTCCTTCAATGAAGGGCAAAATAAAATCGAAAGCCATAATATCGTCAAGTGATGATTCTTCAGACGAAGATAAACTTAAAATTGCTGATGAAGGGTAGGAATTGTTCCCTTAGTGTATTCTTCTAATGAAAGATAAAAGTGGTCACTGTGCCAGATGTCTTCCCTCCAGTTTCTTAGAATGTCAAAGCTGGCAGAAACCTCAACACACATCTTATTCTAACCCTGTCATTTTGTCCTGTCACATGTTTGTTCCTCAGAGAAGAAAACCTATTTTGAAATCTTATTTCTCCGTGGATATTAGCTGAAATTTGCTGGATGGCATCCTTCTATTTTTTTCAATAGTGAAATTTTCTTTTATTTTACTATATTTTATTATTACTGTTTTTTGCTGTTTTATTTCATTTTTTTATTTTTTTATTTAAATTTTAGGGAGTTAACATCCAGTGCAATATTGGTTTCTGGAGTAGAAGTCAGTGGTTCATGACTTATATACAACACTTAGTGCTTATCACAAGTGCCCTCCTTAGTGCCCGTCACCCATCTAGCTCATCCCCCACCCACCTCCCTCCATCAACCCTCAGTTTGTTCTCCGTTGTTAAGAGTCTCTTATGGCTTCTCTTTCTCCTTTTTTTCTTTTCCCCCTTCCCATATGTTCATCTGTTTTCTTTCTTAAATGCCACATGTGAGTGAGATCGTATGGTATTTGTTTTTCTCTGACTGACTTATTTCACTTAGCTTAATATGCTCTAGCTCTGGATGGCATCCTTCTAAATGGAATGTATCACTTTGCTACACTACCAGACCGGCTAAAACTGTTAGAGTAGCCTGATCCTCCTCACGTGGGGATGGGACTTTCTTGACCATTTCCTCCATTGTGGGGCAGTGGTGACTCAGCTCTGCCTGCTCCGTGAAGGGCTTTCCTAGACGACTTGTCCAGTAATCTCCTTTAGCTCATGGCACACCTGGAAAAGTAGTCTTTGATTTTACTTGTCCTAAACTTGTCCCTCAAGCTGGAGGTTCCCCCCAACTTGGATTCACAGAGTGGGACTCTGAATGCTGTACCACACTGTGTATTTCTTCTGATGGCCGTCATTTCATTCATTCATTCCACAGTCACTTGAACATCCCCTGAGAATTCTCTGAGACAGTGTGCTGAGTGCCAGGGATACAGAGGAAAGAGTCAGACTCTGCCCTCAAGGAGTTTATGCTTTAGAGGCAGTGGAGAATAACAGATAAACCAAAAACCGAATTATCATGAGATAAGTGTTATCACATAGTTTCTTTTATTGCTCTCTGGGGACTATACCTAATTTGGAGTTGAGGGGAGGGTTGTAGGAGACAGGCTTTGTAAAAGGAAGGCTGTTTGAGTTGAGTCTTGGTTAGCATGTTGAGGGAGCTAAGGGTGCTGGCGGGGGTGCTGGCCTCATAGGTAGCGAGCTTTAGGGAACCATCTGTAAAGACTTGGCAGTTCCGCTTTTCTCTGAAAACACTGGCTAACATACATTGGGGTTGATTTGCCCTTTGCCCACGGTGTTACCCTGGCCAGTGGTGAGAGGCATGCACGAGCAGAGCAATGAGATGTCTGGTTTTAGAATGAGCATTGTTAAAATGTGTAGGCAGAAGGGTCCATGTGACAGGCTGAGCTACTGTTAAACCATATCTGAGGTCAAGACCATGTTGATTTGAGCCACTTGTATCAGTTAAACTTGGTCCTGACCATCACGAAGTGTTTGCTTATTTGGCCAGGTAGAATAGTGGGAATTAGATCCCAGGAGGCCCACTGGCCTTTAGCATATATACAGAATGAATATACAATGTCCACTTCTTAGTCACTCTTCATGTCCACCCAGGGTGACCTGAGTTACATATTGTATGTCTAGGTTTCTTCTTTCAGATTTAAGCACAAAGAGCCTTTCTTTAGTCATGCAGAGATGGTTTCATATCCGAACAGAGGGATATATTTCATCGTCTTCTCTCTTCTTAGACTGAACCCTGTGGGATTTAATATTCCTTTCCTGGAATCTTTGTCATGGAGACCAAAACTGAGGAATATGCCACAGGAGCAGTATGTCCTCCTGTCCAAAGCTCTGGGCTGTGAGCCACTGTCACAGCAGTTACGGGAATGCTCTTTCCCCCAGAGCCTCCAGGAAGCCAAGATTTCCTGGGTGCCACCAGCATTCCAAGCATAGGTGCAAGTCCCCTTCCCTTTAACCCATCAACTGATAAGAAGAGGGGACCTCAGAGCAGAAGTAAGCAAGCTATAAAAGCCTTTTAGCCCCAGCTTCTTCTCTTAAGTAAGTCTTGTGTTGGTGGAGGGCCCTAGTGCAGGTCGTGGTTAGAAACAGTGCCTTTGCTCTTCAGGTGTATGATAGGACGGGGACAAGTCCCACTCATCCAGCCTTGGGAGAGGGTTAATTCCTCAGAGTCTACAGCCAAGCAAGATCCTGGGTTTCACCTCTGCTGCTATGAATTTGTTTATAGAAATAAATTATCCCTTCCTTTTCATAATTTTATGTATGAAATTGAGAAGTGCTTCATTCTGATGAAAGGTGCCTGATAGAAGCCAATGAGAGTCCTCGTTTATTGTTTAAATGTTGTGTTATAATCAAAGTGCCGTATTCTAATTTCCTTATAATCCTTTTTTTTTTTACTGTGAAATATATCAAATTTACAAAACAGGACACGGCACAAGTACCACAAAATGAACACCTGTGTCAACACCATCCAGGTCAAGAAATAGAACAGTAAATGCCCTGATGTTTTGAAAGCACTCTGTGCTCGTTGAGCTCCCCTTGGTCGGTCTAACCCGCCCTTGTCTTTACCAGGCATCACCGAACCAGCAACAGCAACAGCGACTCGGATGAGGGCGAGCGGCGGAAGAAGCGGGCCTCCTCAGAGAGCGATTCTGATGAGAACCAGAACAAGTCTGGCAGCGAGGCCGGGAGTCCCCGGAGGCCCCGCAGACAGCAGTCAGATGAGGATTCAGACAGTGACCAGCCAGCCAGAAAGAGAAGGCCCTCGGGTTCTGACCAGTCTGACAATGAGTCTGTGCAGTCCGGGAGGAGCCGCTCTGGAGGCTCAGACATGGACTCCCGCCCCGCTTCTCCAAGTGCCGAGTCCGATCACGATTCCGAGAGAGGCTCAGATAATGAGGGCTCTGGCCACGGCTCTGGAAATGAATCCGAACCAGAGGGATCCAACAACGAGGCCTCGGATCGGGGCTCAGAACATGGGTCAGATGATAGCGACTAGGTTTTATGTCATAAATAAGCTTCATCTCTGGAGGAAACTTTTTTAATATATGAAAGCTGTGATAAAAACGTTTCAGATGTTTAGTCAAACAATTGTGAAATTTTTCCTAAGGCAGTTTTTTTTTTCTACCCATTTGTATATTACTAAGCCCCAAGAGATATTTCCTGTGCAGAGTCCAATATTTGAGTCTCTTGAGCAAATGAAGAATGTGACTATTCTTCATTATGGTACAATTCCACTTGTCATATGTGAAAACAGCAGTAAAAATAAACCCAGATGCTAAATCATTCCTACAGAGGTTTGACTGAAACTGGCAGACATCTCATCATCTTGTATGTTAAGCAGCATACTGTTCTGGTTTTTATTGCAATCTTTTACTGAATGGTGCAGGAAACTTGGTATTAATGTCTTTGTTCCATTTTAAGTTGAGATTGAGAATATTTTTATTTTCTGGACAAAGATCTGCTGTATAATTGCACCAACGTACAAGTAAAAGGAAGGTTTTCTTCAATATAGTGTAATACTGCAGCCATGTAGATAAGATCACAGATATATAATTTGTTAGGTTGAATAAGATGTGGAAAAATGCTTTTCTGTTAGTAGAATGCAAAGACCTACATAAGCCACACAATAAAATTCTTCTACCAACTTTTATGGGTAACATCGTGTCATTTGTATTTGCTCAGTACATTTGTATATGAAAATTGAGCATAAACCAACTATGCAAGTATTTGGAAGAACCTGAACTAAGCTGAAGGTTGTTTACTCAAAACTTACCATTTTTTTAAAGATTTTATTTTTAAGTAACCTCTAAACCCAACATGGGCTCATACTTACAACCCGGAGATCAAGAGTCTCATGCTCCACCAACCCAAGCCAGCCAGGCGCCCTAAAACTTCTATAATAACTTTATAGATCTGTGGGGGTTTTTTAAGATACATGCTAGTACTAATTTCAGTAATACTAGTTTGTTTTCAGTAATCCAGTGATTAATTTATGAATAACATTTTTATGTTGCACTGTACAGTTCGTAAGAAAGCTGTAATTAGGGGCACCTGGGTGACTCAGTTGGTTAGGTGTCTGACTCTTGATTTCAGCTCAGGTCATGATCTCAGGGTCGTGAGATCAAGCACCATGTCGGGCTCCACACTGGGCATGGAGCCTGCTTAAGATTCTCTCCCTCTCCTCCTCCCCTCGCACCTTCTTTCTCTCCCTCAAAATAAAGCATTTTGGGGCACCTGGGTGGCTCAATCAGTTAAGCATTGGCCTTCGGCTCAGGTCATGATCTCAGAATCCTGCGATCAAGCCCCGCATGGGGCTCCCTGTTCAGCGGGGAGTCTGCTTCTCCCTCTCCCCCAACCCCTCCCCCCTGCTCATGCTCTCTCTCACACCTACACTCTCTTAGTCTTTTTTAAAAAAAATAATAAAAACCTTTTTAAAAAAGCTGTAAATAAATTTAGTCAATAAGTATATTAGACAGAATGCAGAGATAAAATGTCTTTCCTGCCAAAAATATAATAGAGAAGTAAGTTCATTGTCACTATGATGTGAAAAGGGTAATGTTTGTACAGGTTGTGGGTGCAGAAGGGAGGTTGAACTCAAGGCAACGTTTCCTGAAGGTCAGGAGACCTTCAATAACTCAAGGTACCAGGCAAGTGGAGAGTCCAGGGAGGGTTTCGAGGCCGTGGGAGGCGCGCGTGCAACTCTGGGAACTAGAATGTAAGAGGCAATGTGAATTTCTGCCTTTGAAAGATGCAGAGCCTGAGATTCAGAAGTTCATGCTGCTAGTAAAGAGATTCGAACCAGAATCCAGGTCTCTCTGCTCCTTCCAATATGTCACGTATAACGAGGTGAACTACTTAATCCCCAAGTGACAAGAATCTAAGTTTAAAAACATTTCCCAACCAATGACTCAACATCAAGCAGTTAACTAAAGCAAGTTGGTAGAAGGTCCTTCGGAGAGCTATTTATGGAGGAGGGATTTAACATAATGCTGTTTCACTGCTTCAGGTTTTGGCTACAAAGGTGCTTTTTAGTACATGTTCTGATTTCTAATTTGGAGCATTTCCACCTCAATATGGGTGTTTCTTCCAGTTGTGCCCTCAGAGTAGCCGAGCAGCAACATTCTCTGGCCCCGGGGCCCACATCAGTAGCCGCTGTGAGGTTTCTTCTGGCACGACTCCCCTCTGGCCACAGTTGGGAGCCTGGAGATGGCAGAAATGACCAAGAACTGGGCAATGCCCCACTGAGGAAGGGGGAGGCCCTTCTGACAAGAAGCCTTTGCTCTGCTGCCACCCACCGCCCTCAGGATCAGCCTTCCATTTCTTTCCTTTTCTTTCTTTTTTTTTTTTGAAGTATAATTGGCAGATAACATTTTATTACTTTCAGGTGTACAGCATAATGGTTTGATATCTGTATATGTTGCAAAACAATCACCACAGTAAGTCTAGCTAACATCCATTACCACACGTCATGACAAAAAAATGGAAAACAGTATGGAAGTTCCTCAAAAAAAGTAAAAATAGAACAAGCATATGATCTAACAATTTCACTTCTGTGTATTTGTCAGAAGAAAATGAAAACACTAACTTGGAAAGATATATGCACCCCCATGTTCACTGCAGCATTATTTATACTAGCCAAGATATAGACACATTCTAAATGTCCATGGATGGATGAATGGATAAAGAAAATGTGAGATATATTCCATTACATACACATAATGGAATATTATTCAGTCATAAAGAAGAATGAAATCTGGCCATTTGTGACAACATGGATGGACCCTGAGGGCATTATGCTAAGTGAAATAAGAGAAAAAAGGCAAAAAAGCATATGATCTCACTTATCTGTGGAATCTAAAAAATGAAATGAAGCTCCTGGATGCAGAGAACAGATTGGTGTTCTCTAGAGGTGGGGGGTTAGGGAGGACTAGGTAAAGGGACTCAAAAGGTACAAACTTCCAGTTACAAAATAAATCATGGGGATGTCAGGGACAGCTTTGCAACTAGAGTCAATACTACTGTAATGCATATTTGAAAGCCGCTAAGAGAATATATCTTAAAAGTTACAATCACAAGAAAAAAAGATGTTAACTATGCACGGTGACTCTTGAAACTCATCATTCAATCCTTCCCTAGTTCTTGGTTCTCTCTCAAACCTTTCTGATTGTCCAAGCCGCCTATTTTATTTTTCATAACTCCCAGTGGTTGAGGGTGTGCCATGACCTGTCAGTGTCCCAAAGTGTCCCAGAGCACACCTAGGTTCAGGCTGATTGGAAGCCAGAGCCTCGGGCAGCAGCAGTGATGACTAGCTAACAGGTCCCTTTCACAGGAAGACTGAGTTCTGGGTCCATTGCCTGTTGCTGTGCCCCGAGGGTGGTTGCTGTTGAAGCTATCCGACAGCTGCAGCCCCACTGAGAGTACAAAGATTGCTTCCACCGGCCTCCGTTCCTTGAGTGCAGCTCCGCAGACCCCAGTCAGTGGCCAGGCCGAAGCTCCTGACCAAGCAGGCAGTCTCTTGCCCAGAAAGACGGGGTTATGTTGCAGTGTGCTGTCTATGCAGTGGCCAGAACGGCTCCAGCGCTTACAGTCCCGTGGGACCCGGGGACACGGGGCCCCCCCGGCGCCCAGAGCCAGGAGATCAAGGGGCGTCCCCTGGGCTACCGGCGCAAAAACCGGGTCACTGTAAAAACCAGGCACCAGAGGTGGGTAGAAGCTCGTCTCTGGGGAGCAGAGCGGGTGAGGGGGGGACGCGAAGATGGCGCCCCGAAGATGCCCAGGAGGCAGCAGAAAGAGAGCACCTGCCGGTTTCCTCCCGAGAGTATCCCAGCAGGCCCCTGCCCCCCTCCCCCCAGGCCCACGCTTTAAAATGAGCAAATGAGCTTCTCTCACAGAAAGACCGAGCACTTTCCAAAGGCCGCCTCTGCGCTGGGCGTGGGGTGAGTGAGTCCACGTGTGCGTTCTCTTAAGAGCTGTTTCTCAGTTTGCCGCAGCCCCACGGGTCTTTTGGGCTTGAGCCTCATTGGTTTTCAAAGGTAGCTGTTTTGGGGGGCTTGTCTTTCAGGAGTGGATCTTAAAGTTGGGGTGCTCAGTATGGGGTACCAACTCAGGTTGAAGCTCTGGGTTTTTGAGTTCCCTCCCAATTGTCGGTTGCTGTTGAGGGGTGGGAGGTGAGGGGGTTGGAGGGG